TCAGCAGGAGTCCCAGAATTATATTTCATCGACCTGGCTTATGTCCTGTGCCCATCCATGAACCAAAAATACTGTTGAAAAGAGCAAGTGATGTTCTGATTAGCCAGGTTTAGGGCCCACCCAACCTGAAGCCCCATGCAAACCATTAAGACAAGAGTGAGAAGGGTTCCCCTGGGAAGACTCAGGATGCTTTCATCAGAAGAAGAATAGATGCTGCATAGATTTAAAAACATGTCCAGGATTTGATCTCTCCTTGGCGTAGGGTAAGCACAAAAACCTCTCAGGGTAACACCCTTTTTGGATCACTTTGGTCCTGGGCTTTGTACCAGGGAGTAGGGTACAGACTATGGAAGGAGTGTTACAAATGGGGAGTATGTAAGCTGATGCCAGCTGATTCATAATTTGTAACACACTTAACATTAGCTTTCTGAAATGCAGAATTTAAGTTTATATGGCATATAAATATCTGAATAAAATGTCAGATTATTTCTGAAAAAAATAATTAACTTTTCAATATGTAGATACCTGAAAAGATAGATAATTACATAATGATATGTTAAATCAGACCACAGTTTTCAAAAGACTATTCTTTAGTATAGCCATTTTTCTAAATCAGGTAAAATATCTTTTTGGAATGGTATTTAACCAACCTTTTTATGAAGGAGAAAGTGGAAACATATAGAGATAAAATGATTTGTGATTATTATTGGTATCAGGGTCAATGATTACATCGATCAAGGGGAAAAAAATATTCTCTTTAAACAGGAAGATTATCCAGAAGTCTCTATTATCCTTTGGACGGTGTTTGCAGCTCATTTGGAATCAGCTACCATTTGTAATCTAAGTCTCTAAAGGATCTGAGATTGTGCAAAAAGTTTAAATTGAAGAATTTTTAAAAATGTATCACCAGATTCTCCAAAATCTTAAATAAGCAAATAATAATATTTTTTCCAGAAAGTATTTATCCATATGCAAATAAGTTCAACAAGGAATAATATGCTCTCCTGGTTAGAAAACTACAGTAAGTCAGAGCTGATTTTAAAAGTTGTTATCTGCATCAAAAAATAAATAAATAAATCATCTTAGAGTTTAGTGATTTCTATAGTACATTAAAATTTATGCACCTTTAAGAACAAATCAAGTGAAAAGAATTCTTCATGAAAAGTTTAACAGAGTGGTAGTAAAATCTTCATTTTACAAGCACTTCTTAAAATGTCTCAATAACCATTTCTAAGTTGACTCTTAAAGTCTGGAAGTAGATTCTGTAAAAGACAGCAGTCATTGAATTTGACTGATGGGGCATCTTTTTCTAAGCCATCCTTCATCCTTTTATGACATCTCTGCTAAGCTAAAGCTGTAAGAACCGACACAAACAAGAGAAGCTATTTCCACTCTCCACCCCCAAATCACTTTTTAAGCAGTATTGGCCTTCTCCCCCTCCCCCCCCAGGTACGCCCACTCACCACCCTTTCACAGAAGGATGTCAATCCTTCCCCCGCAGCTCAGGGTTTTTTAAAGTATAGGATTTTGCACCTAACTGCATAGCTCCACCAAGGCCTCCGCAGGGAGTATAACTACATGCTGCTCAATACTTTTTCTAAAAGTACTGACACAGTGTTAATGGATAATTGACTGAAAGGCTGTTCAAACGTTCCTCTGGATATGCTAAATTCTGTCGACTGGTCTCTTGCAGAACTGCTCTTACTGACTTCATGTGGCAGGATGCCAACAGCCTTTATGGAGGGTCAGAATGAATGAAATGAAAAACAGCCCATGAAACTGCGTCCTGGAAAAGAATGGTTTAGACAGACTCATTTGTCAAATTTCTCTCCCATCTCCATACTAGAAACAGTCAATGCTTATGAACAGTGAGATTATTCCTTACGGACAGTACAAGCCGTACATAATCATACTTCCCTCTTTGAAGTGGCTATTCTTGGGCAGAGCCAAATGTCCAGTCTACTTCTGCTGCACACTTAGTGTGTCTAAGCTCTCTCGACTTATTTTTCCCTTCACCTTACTTTCCTTACCTATTGTTCATTTATCTTCCCTCTTTGTAAGCTTCATTAAATCCTTTCTGGAACAAAACAAGTATAAATAAATGAATTGTTCTATACATGAAGAAATATGCTGGGCTCATGAGAGATACTGTAATCTTCAGGGTTTGAGAATATGCTTCATTCTGCCAGTGAGGAAATAACCAGAGGTCAGGTTTCACAGAGAGACTTTAGACTTAAGACTTCTTTATCATAACATTTTATAAATGTAACATTTTGAAAATACAGGTACATTTAAAAGACAGAGAAACTTTTTTGTATTCTCCCTTTCGCACTTAATAAGAACAGGATTTCTTTACATGTACATAATATATCTACAATAAATTTCAATATCTATTAATATTATGTGACAATTTTTGGAATTATCTCTGCAAGTTTTTTGCCAAATTTCTGCTTTTAACTTTGTGAAGACTCAAATAGAATTATAAGGTAATAGCATTTTTTAAAAACATGAGAGAATATGTAAGAATTTAGATAATCTTCAAATTTAAAAATTCTTTTAAAAAATCAATGGAAGACTCTCCCAAAGGCCATTTTTCATTGATTTATCATTTATGACTTTCTTATCCCCAGAAAGGATCTGAGGTAACTCACAGTAAAAATACATATATGCATTTGTATTATCAGATAAATGTGAAAGAGATAAAAGCCAAGGAGAAAACACGTAACTGCATTCAAAACCTAAATTCGGCACTGATTTTCCTGACACCTAAAGCTAACAGGGAAACAAAGTGGATTACAAATTTTTCAATATCTGATAAGAGAAAAGTACATAAATTTTTCCACTGCTTAAAAGGAAACCACCAAATTTTAAATCTCAAAATTAACCCTGGTTTTTAAATTGGAGAGAGATGTTTTCAGGCAATATTGTAATATATTGCATTTTGTCATTTTTGTTTCATTCTGTTTGTTGGAATTAGGAACTGTCTCAGCCAAAAGCTGCTTGAAATACAGATGAGATACATGACCTGCCATGCTGACTTAACAGTATTTCTGGTTTTTTTGCAGTATACTCCTGATCATGTAGCCGGGCCTGGAGGAGACACTGATCCCACTCTAATAACCTTTCCCGGATGCGTTTGTCTCAAAACTCCCTGCCTCCCTGGAACTTGCTCCTGTCTCCGTCGTGAGAAGAACTATGATGATAATTTATGCCTCAGACACATAGGATCAGAAGCAAAGTGTGCTGAGCCAGTTTTCGAATGCAACGTCCTGTGTCAGTGCAGCGACCACTGCAGGAACAGAGTGGTCCAGCGGGGTCTGCAGTTCCACCTCCAGGTGTTCAAGACAGATCGCAAAGGCTGGGGACTTCGTACCTTGGACTTTATACCAAAAGGACGGTTTGTCTGTGAATATGCTGGCGAGGTTTTAGGATTCCCAGAAGTACAGAGAAGAATTCAGTTACAAACAGTACACGATTCGAATTACATTATAGCCGTCAGGGAGCATGTTTATAATGGACAGGTAATGGAAACGTTCGTTGATCCTACCTCTGTAGGAAATATTGGAAGATTCCTTAACCATTCTTGTGAGCCAAACCTATTGATGATTCCTGTCCGAATCAACTCGATGGTACCAAAGTTGGCACTTTTTGCAGCCAAAGACATTGTGCCAGAAGAAGAACTCTCTTATGACTATTCAGGAAGATTTCTTAATCTACCGGATAGTGAAGACAAAGAAAGGTTGGATAATGGGAAATTAAGGAAACCTTGTTATTGTGGTGCTGAATCATGTGCTGCGTTCCTGCCTTATGACAGCTCACTGTACTGCCCCTTAGAAAAGCCAAACACGAGTGAGGAAGGAAAAGTAGAGCAGAAGCGTGTCTGGCCCCGCAGTGGAGGAGAATGAGGAGGAATCGAGCGTGTTCGGCTCAGCCCTTCCTGGCTTCCCCTCCTACAAGCAGCTCACCCTCAGGGTCAGTCTCTGCTCTGTGGTAAGGAGCTTGCCCCTCACAGTAGGGGAGCCCAGTGGTTGTAACTTAGGGATGTGGCAGAGACTACAGATTGTCCAGCAACACTCTCTCTCCCCTTCTATCATAGAATTCTCAGTTTTTAGCTGGGTACATGACTGCCGAGAATGCTCACTTTTCCTAGTGAGATGTGGCTAAGGGACTATGTCATAGCTAGTGGGATATGAGGGAAAACGTTGTGCCGTTAAGTGGAGATATCCTTCCCTTATCCCACTCTTTTTTCTTCTTGGCTGGAATGTATACATGATAACTGGAGCTGAAGCATCCATGCCATACCCCAAAATAACCTTGGAAAAGGAAGCCACACATAGCAAATCAGCAAAATTGAAAGGAGTCTGGAGGCTGTATACTGTCCAGCACTCTACCAGCCCTGATCTGACACCTCTGGACTATTCGGTGAGAAACTGTGTCTTCATCATTTATGCCACTGTTATTTTGAACTTTCTAGTACTAGCACCAAACCTAATCAGTGATCCAAGGAAACCCTGATGGCTGAATACCTAAGCCTTCCTTTCCAGTCAATTTTATCAGTAATAAGGCTAGTATTTTCATTTCTGTATGACTCCAGCAGTTTATTTCTCATCTGTTTCTAAACATATCAAGGAAAAGGGCATGATTAATTATCACCTGCTAAAACCCTAATGATTATCACCAATAGTGAAAAATATAACCATGAGACCGACTTCCATGTATAAGGAAAAGTCATAAAAGGAAACAAATTGTAAAATTTTTGCTATATACCTGCTGTACTTCAAGGCTTGTGAAGTTATGCTTCAAAACTTCAAACAGCCTCACTTCATGTATTAACGACATGAAAATAACCCTGTCAACACTACCAAAGGTGATGGGAGTTTTATAATTCAATTTAAACTCCTGGAGAGGCAAAAATCTATAATTTCTTTTTCTAGTACATTTAGACCCTACCACCAGGAGACTCTGTGCTTTCAAAGTTATATCATAGGGACCCATGTTATATATAACACTCTACTCCTGTATGATATGATAAGTAGGATAGTTGTACATTTTAAGTGAATGAAATGTATGGTATGTGAATTATATCTCAATAAAACTGTTAAAATAGTAACTATGTTAGGGTTTGCATATTCACATAACATTATCAGGAACAGTTCCATGTGAATAGATGATAGTAGAGTACACATAAAATGCCCCAGACTACAAATGTGCAGTGTCTAAAACAGAATGAATTTTTCCTCCAAACTCATCATTTCTCCCTGCCAGCCTTCCTCTATAACTGATTTCTCTGAAGCAGTCCTGCTTTTTGTAAGGCAGCTTGTATCTCTCATTTTAAAATGGCCTTTCTCCTCCTCACAAGGGCTTCTAGTAACTGAGCTACTTAAGAGGCAATAAGGAAATGGACAGAAGGAACATGAGTGGCTCACTGTTTGATGCTCCAGATACCCTTTCCTTCTTCCTTGTGCTCCGTATCTATTGAATATCACCGTCTGTGTATCAGAAGTACTCCAGTTAGGACACAAGCAGGATCCTCCATCTTGATGTCTCTTCCAAAGACAGAACTCACTGAATATAGACCCTTGGAGTCTTTTGTACTCACACACAAGTATATTCTTTTTTTTTTTTTGTGGTACGCGGGCCTCTCGCTGTTGTGGCCTCTCCCGTTGCGGAGCACAGGCTCCGGACGTGCAGGCTCAGCGGCCATGGCTCATGGGCCCAGCCGCTCCACGGCATGTGGGATCTTCCTGGACCGGGGCACGAACCCGCGTCCCCTGCATCGGCAGACGGACTCTCAACCACTGCGCCACCAGGGAAGCCCCACAAGTTTATTCTTAAATAGCAATGTCGCCTGGAAATCAGATTCCTAAAGTAAGAGTTGAAGACTCTTCCAAGTCTTTTCTAGGTACTGAGTTAACTGCATTTACTTAATTGCCATGTTCCTAAGAAAGTTGACACTTCTACTTTTGAGAGCAAACATTAAAAGATATACTTCTAAAAAAATTTTTAAAAAAAGATATACTTCTGCTTGACTATTATCCTAATATAAAAAACATTAACTTTTTTACAATTATAAATTAGTATAAAATTAGAATTTTAAAAGGTGTTATGTGTCTTCATGGAATTAAAACATAAAAATGGCTCTGAAGTCAATTTCCACTGAATTCACTAAGAATGTGGAAACGTGTACCTTGGAAACTGTTTTGGCACAAGAATAATAAAGATCATACTTGGAGGACAAAACTTTTCAAATCTTTTTTAAATTAATGTTTTTAAATTTAAAATTAATATTCACAAAATATCAGTGGCTGATAGATTTTGTTCTTGGCTAAATGGAAAATTTTGCCTTAATTGAAATGAATATTCAGAGATTATTTTTCTTCCTCCCTGTTTTCAATATTAAGCCCCAATACTGCCTAACTCTGAAGCATAAGGCAGGAGTGGATTAAGCACATCAACGGTAGACTAATTTGCATAGAACAGAGGATTTTATCTTAAACTCAGGAAGATCTCATTTAAAAAGGGGGAAAAAATCTCCCAAAGTTGTTTTCATTCCCTTGAGTGTTCAAATAATGTTCTCTGTGTAACATATTCCTTATTACATATTCCTCTCCAGTGTGTCAGTGTTCAGCAAGTTACTGAACCTCTGACTCTGAATTCCCTTTTCTGGATACAGCATTTTTGGGAGAATCAAATAAGTTAACACTTGTAAAGCGTTTAAACAATGATGCAGCACTAAGATAGCTATAACCAAAAAGACAACTACAAGTGTTGACAAGGATGTGGAGAAATCAGAACCTTCGTATATTGCTGGTAGAGTTGTAAAATTGCACAGCTACTTTGTAAAGCCATTTGGTTAGTTCCTTAAAATGTTACACATAGAGTAACCACCTGTTCCAGTAACTCCATTCCTAGGTAATACACCCAAGAGAAACGAAAACATGTCCTACCAAAAACTGTATGCAACCTTTATAGTGGCATTATTGGTAATAGCGAAAAAGTAGACACAACCCAAATGTCCACTGACTGATGAATGAATAAACAATATGTGGTATCCATATCACAGAGTATTATTCAACCAGGAAAAGGAGTGAAGTGCTGACACATGCCACAACATAGATAAACCCTGAAAATACTATGTTAAATGAAAGAAGCCAGACACAAAGCCACAAATTGTATGATCCTATTTATATGAAATGTCCAGAATAAACAACTATAGACTCATAAAGTAGATTAATGGTTGCCAGGGGCTGGTGGAGAAGGAGGTATAAGAAGTGACTGCTAATGGGTTCAGAGTTTCTTTTTAGGGTGAATATACTAAAAACCCCTTAAAAGTGATGACTATCATGTTATGTGATTTATATCTCCATAAAGCTGTCAAAAGAAAATGAAACAAGAAGATACGGGTGCCTCTCACTTGGAAACTGGTAACCTGTAACTCTGAACGTTGCTCTCACGAATAAACACTCTCAGATCCCAAGGAAATTCTTCTCCACTTGCTTTATGTCCTCAAAACAAAACATGACCGCGTCTAAGGTTGTGATTTTTTTGTGGCTATCACCACTATCAGAGATAGACCCTGCTTCACAGGGCAGTGAGATTTTGAACAGTAGGAGTGCTTAACTTGGTAAGAACATGGATGGATTAATTAGACCCTTCCTCTCAGACAGCATGAATGCAATTCTTAAATAACAAAGTAATGTTTCCTTGTAGCATTGAATATCAATTTTCTTGCCTCTCTTTCTGTTCAAGTTTGTGGTTCCAGAGATTCGTGTGGTTCCTCACGAATCAGTACAGTATTCGTTACAGTTGCACATGGAGACAGAAGTATTTTGCAATATTAAGCAATTCGTATTACTTTTACATTTGTAAATGTGTGGGTCTAGAGGTTTGATATTGGTTCCTCACATTACATCACATTACTTGGTTCTCATTACATTTAAGAGACAGTTAAAATGACAACATAAGTGATAGCAGTTTATGTGATGTAATTAATATATTTTCTGCAATGATAATTCATCAGATATGATATCATTACAATGTTTGGACATGATAAGTAAATTTCATGATTTATTTTCAGCTGTTTCAGCGGAGTAAAGCTTTCTTAAATTGACATTAACAGGGCTTCCCTGGTGGCGCAGTGGTTGAGAGTCCCCCTGCCGATGCAGGGGACACGGGTTCGTGCCCCGGTCCGGGAGGATCCCACATGCCATGGAGCGGCTGGGCCCGCGAGCCATGGCCGCTGAGCCTGCACGTCCGGAGCCTGTGCTCCGCAACGGGAGAGGCCGCAACAGTGAGAGGCCCGCGTACCGCAAAAAACAAAGAGCTACAATAACTCAGAAAAGATGGTCTCATTTGGTATCATTGTTAACAGAACATCAACCATGTGAAAATCTTGTTTATAACAGCACAATTTATGATTTTACTGAAAGGACAATAAGAATAATTATTTTTTGGCATAAATATATAAAAAATTATGAATCACATAGCTCATTATTTTATTATTCATCCAAACATTGCCAACTCAGTTGGATGCCCAGGAATGAGCAAGGATAATTAAATTTAGTCACATATGATATTTTGCCAACTTCATTCATATAAAAACCCTAACTTTATACATGTTTTCCATTCTTGTGGTTATGAAGACATTTTTGTCAAACTTGATTTATAACTTTTAAATATTTCTACATATTGCCTGTGGATTTCCCATAAGCTGTCCTGGCCTTGATGCTTATAAAGGGAGGGAAGAAACTAGCTTCCCTGGTAAGGCTGTTCAGGGACTCACATAAAATAATGGATTTATATAGGCTATAAAGTACTATATAAATTTGGTTATCGTTACAGGCATATTTCTGGGTTTACACTCTGCTACACAGAACCGAACGCACACGTTATCATGTTATCATAGTCAAGATTCATTTAGAGTCCATATAATGGTAAGTCTTTCTTGGTGGTAAATGCTACGGAAGTATTAGAATAAGCTCCCAAAGGAGTTCTGTTAATCAATAAAATAAAAGGATACTTGTCTTTAAT